GAGTTGTCTTTTGGCTTCAAGCCTGTATCCAATATTCATGCATCAATGTCAGTTCTGTTTAGTATTTACCTGGCATATCTTTTCTTTTCTTTTCTCTAAATCTTTCTAGATTTTTATATATTAGATAGACATAGCCGATGGACACAGACAATAGTCTGGCAAAGGCCTGGAAGAGGCGGGTGCAGGGTGGAGGAGATCAATGGAGAAAAAATGGAGGAGAAGAGGGGACATCTATAATACTTTCAGCAAAAAAGATATATATTTTTTTAATTTTAAATAGAAAAAAAGTTTTCTATTAAAAAAACGTTTTAAAGCATTATTTGGAAAGGATTAAGAGAGTCTATTTTAAGAAGCCAGCAGGGGGCACCCCCTTCAAGGATATAATTTAAGTTTTAGCTGAAGTGTTAGGTTTTGTTGATTTCTTTTTAATGATCTTAGCACAAATCTTCTCAACGTTTTCCATGCTCAGAAATTACCTAAAATAAAATAACTGAATAAAATAATGAAGAATAAGTTATTAAAATATAAATGTTACTTACATATCCCAGTTTGGAGCCATTCGCAAATGCTGGATTAGCAAGTGGAACTAGGATAAAAATGAAGACACACATTTCATTCATGAAACTGCATAGAAAGTGACTGCACGGTTAAAAAAATCAGACCTGCATACAACGGAGATGGGAATCCCGCACTAAGAAGTTAATTATTCACAAAAATGCAAAAGCCCTGAGGATATGAATAAGCTAAAAATAAAAACTAAACACGACTTTCAGTTTCTCATACCCACTTATATTCCCTAAATGTGCCATAAACACACCCCAAGGACCAAAAAAGTAACCTTAAAACTATCCTGAAAGCAAATGACTTAATTTTCAAGCCAGTTCCCAATGAGGCCCCACTGTGGAGGAAGCCCAGACATTGTAACTTCCTCCTGGGGTGACTTCCAAAGCTCTGCCCAGTCCTAGGGCCTCCCCCATGAACCAAGCCAGCCCGACAAAGAGCATGACCAGGGGGGAAGTCTTAGGACTCAATGTCACCCTTCACTGTGGGTGGGGTTTACCAGGTGGCCCAATAAAGGGCCCTCTAGTCCACAGGGGCAGCTCATTCCAGAATGATCTCTGTCCTATGATTTCAGATGTGAAAAATATCACACAATTGTTACAAGTCGACATAAAATGTAAGCCAGAGTATGAGCAAAACAAGTTCAAAATCACTGTCTATGCAACTGCTCTTAGACTTCAGGATGAAACAGAGGACAGTTTTGACAAACCTATGATCCAATTATAATCCCTTTTGCATTATAATTGGAATTAATAATTTAGCTCTTGTTTCAATCGCTATCGATACACACGAGTGGCATGCAGAAGGCATGCTACGAGGACCGTGCGAGGGGTCTTGCTGTCACAACGTGACCACCTACCAGGGGGGAGTGCAGGAGCCTGGCGGCCACCTCCCTCTGACCGGCCACCACGCACAGGTAGCTCAGGAGGTTCAGCTTGACCCGGGAGGCGCCCATGGTCTTCTCAGGGCAGTCGAGCTGCGAGCACACTTGTTGCAGAAAGTCGTTCCAGTCCTGGTCTTTCAGGGACGCTAACCTGTCCACTGCGGAGGAAAGGAAATACTCAAAGTGGGTCTCGTGAAAAAGCACCGCGAAAATGTCTTGGGAGAAATGAAATGGAACAGGACTTCAAAAGCTGAGGCGACAAAGTCGTGACTTCGCAATGTCAAAATCCAAACTACTCCCAAGCTGGCACTGTTCTCAGTTACTCTTTTATACTCATTTCACTTTCTTCCACTGGAGACTTTTATCAAACAAGATCAACTACAACAGCCCTTTCCCAGAATAACTCAAAGTAAAGGGCAAAGGGGAAGGAATATTATTTTATAGTAATCCTCTACGTTTTCATCAATAGTGGTTCTGTTTGGCATGGCTTATTTAAATTTGCCTATATTCTATGTTTTTAATTTACTTTGATTTTATTTCAAATCAGAGATTCTGCTCTAGCCATGATGATGAAGTTTTTTCCAATTCTAGTTCAATAGCTTTATCAAATACAATACACCCAAATTTATGGTATAAAAACATTTCTGCCCTGGCCGGTGTGGCTCCGTTGGTTGGGCACTGTCCCATGCACCGAAAGGTTGCTGGTTCTAGTTCCAGTCAGGACACATGCCTGGGTTGCTGGCTCAATCCCCGGCAGGGGGTGTGCAGGAGGCAATGGATTGATGACATCTCTCTGAATTTCTTTTTATTGTTTTAATTTCTGACGTTCACCCTAAATCAGACTTTCAGTAGATGAAAGAAAGCATAACAATCTCCTTTTAAGTATCTCCATTTGCTGGAAGCCAGTCCATCCGTGCTGCTTGATACAGTCGCCCTTCTTCGCCGACTCCATCCACACCTTTGGGAACCCCTGGATCTGCTGGGGTTGGACCCCAACATCCATTCCCACACCATCCTCACAAAAGTGAACCATCTGGTCCCATTCTCAACTGCCCTGGCTTCCTTGAGTAGACTCTCAATTCTTCATTGTGGTCTCCAACCCTCCACGCCCACAATAACACCACAGATGTTGGAAATTCAATGGGCTCTACCAGGGGAAGGGCAGGAGAAGGGCCCACCCACGTAACAGGAAAACCCACCCAGCTTTTCAGGAACTCTCCCACCCACAAGAGCACAGGGCAGCCCAGACTCAGCCGAGTACGGCCAAAAGCTGGCACAAATGGATTTTGGGATGTTTATAATTTGCATAGCATTGCCAAGAGGACAACCAGTTGGCAAGAAAATAGAAATTTAGCTATTCATGAATAAAATATTCCATGTGCTATTAAATGTCTGTCTGCAAAGTGTCTAAACTAAACCTTTATGAGCCTACCTGAATATGCTGGTAGATGCAATATTTTTGGATCAAATTTAATTGGTGGTTGTTTCATGATCTGTGGTTTAAAAAAGAAAAAAAAAAACACCTTTTGAGACAGACATTGGCTCCTGATTTATCGCCTAGATCAGATTATAAATTAGTGAGGACAGAAAGGAATGCTGTAAAATTTGTCACCTATAAGAATTCAACAGTGCCCTTTTGGGATTAAAATATACAAATATGGATAATGATTTGTAAAAATAAGATCATTTCCATTGATATTTGCAGCAAAATTAAGCCTCATGAAAGAGATGCCCTACTATGGCTTACATGTAAGCTAATTTACCTCTAGGTGAGAAATTTGGTCACTGAACAAAACACGTGCTGGGGACCTGCCAGAGTAGGTCCCATGCTCAATGTTAGGGAGACACACACACACACACACACACAGAAGACGTGATCCTGTTGTCAGAGAGCTGCCACTCGGGTAACAACACAGACATTTGTTCAACAACAAAAAAACTGAAGTAACAGCGCAGAACAGGCAGGACATAATCAGACAAGACATCTCACGAGAGGAGTGTTTTTAAGCATTAGAGAAGGCAGCAACCCCTTCTGGCCGATGTGGCCGGGACAGGGTTTATGAAGAGGCAGGAGGTGGACTGAGGTCATAGGAATGGCCAGGACTTGAAGGCTGAATTCTCCAGGAAGCTGTGACAGCCTCAATGGAAAGCGCCTGAGTCTGGAGCAGCTGGAATCCTTCCTGTTGAGGCTTTAATGAAAGATTCAACCATCACATTTCTATGTCTCACTTCCCCAAAACCCAGTGTGTTTTTAAGGCCTTGGCTGGTAGTATTCCTGCCAGAAATAGACAACCTCATTCTCATCAAGAGAAAGCCTTCGACAAACCTCAGTGGAGGGACATTCTACAAAACACCTGACCACTTCCAAGTGTCCAGGTCATGAAGAACAAGCAGAGGTCAGGAAATGACCACAGGCCGGGAGAGACAAGGACCGCCCGTAGGAGAGCAAGGAGACATAAACTGAAATGTGGGTCCAGGAACAGAAAAGGGGCGTCAGGGTCACAGCTGGCAAAATTCGCACCGTGCTAACGTTAATCCCTGGGTCTGCTAACCACCTGCGGTCCTGTAGGATGTTCACATTAGGAGAAACTGGGGAAAAGGTATATAGGGAGGAACGCTAATATTTTCTAACGTTTTTCTAGAAGTCTAAAATCAGTTCAAAATAAAAGCCTATAGTAAGAATGTTTAAAAAACAGCTAACATTTCCCAGAAACAACCAAACGTGGCTATAAGGATAAAATAAAAAAATAGAGAGAATATGGTTTTAAAAAATTCGCAAATTGTTCTAGAAGGTCCACTGGGAAAACGCCCCGTTACCCATTAAATTTGATGTAATATCCAGTTATTCTGCCAGATATCTAAACTCATAAAAAGAAGTCGTTCTGTTGTGAAAATTGCTGGGTCATCTATATTAAATGCTGTCTTTGTAGCAAATACGCACACATCCGACAACCCATTTTACTCTAAACCAGAGCAATGTTCCCCGATGAGATGAGAGGAAACGGTCACAAATTTACACAGAAAAAGACAGTTTAAAAAATTCACATACAGAATAGATAGTGGAGGAATGTGTTGGAGACTGAGCGTCAACAGAAAACAAAGGGACTGAGAAATGACATTTTTTCAAGGAAGGCACTCATCCATGGTAACAGAGCATTGCTTTCCAAAGGACAGGAAGCAACAAGATTCCCCTGGGGTAGAAGTGAACCCAGAGTCCCCCAGCTCCCAGGGTCTGCCTCCGCCCACCTGCGTCCTGATAACCTATGAGCGGGCGTGGTCTCTGTGATCGGCCCACCCAGCCACGCCTGGTGAGCGGTGCTCACTGCCATCTGCCTTCGTAACACCATCAACTAGAACATCTGGAGTGATCCACGTTAAGCACGTGCTGAGAAAGGAAGGCCTCGAGGACTCAGGTCTGAGTCAGCAGCCACTCCTGGGCCCGCTGGGCTGATGGGAGGCAGGGGTGGGGGGGGTGCAGGGCAGGAAGAACACCGCCCAGGCAAGAAGGAGAGAGGGTTACAGACAGGGCGGGAGTTAGGCGTGTGGACATGTGTGTGATTAAATGAAATCCAAGCGGACGACAAGAGGAACAGAAATGCAAACATCACCCAGACTTCAGTCCTCAGTGAAATGGAAAACCCAGCCCGCAGGGGGGGGCGGCGGGGGGTGCCTCTCCGCACCTTGGGATTGTCAATAATCGGCGTGACGATGAGTTCTGCGTCTGTGTAGATGAGCTCCCTCATCTGGGATTCCATGTCCTGCTGGCTCAGGTGCCCACCTGTGGTCTGAAACAACAACAAAAATTGGACTGTTTCTGTGCCTAATGAAGACCTTTGAAAGACTGAACTAATAAGATGCTGAGCAAGGTCATCTCTAATGTACCTCAACTGATACTCAAAACACTTGCACAGGGAGTCTCGTTTGATCTTCGCATGGGTGAATTAAATGGGTGAATTACGTGGTATATCAATGATAGCTCAATGAAGCTGTTATTTAAAAACAAAAAACAAACAAAACAAAAGAACTATATGCCCTCGTGGGTTTGGCTCAGTGGATACAGTGTTGGCTTGTGAAGTGAACAGTCCCAGGTTCGATTCTGGTCAAGGGCACATGCCCAGATTGTAGGCTCAATCCCCAGTGGGGAACTTTCGGAAGGCAGCTGATCAATGATTCTCTCTCATCGTGGATGCTTCTATCTCTTTCCCCCTCTTCCTCTCTGAAATCAATTAAAAAATATATTTTTAAAAAAACTATAAAGCACCTCTCTCTTAAGTGTGCTTACTAGAAAAACCAATGATAAGGCAATGACTTAATTGTAAATTTTGTAATCACCAACATAGTTCGGAAATCAACTTGCAATTATTCTTTAGAATCTCTATATCTCATGTAAAACACACAAAAAACAAAAAACAATCCATCGCTGTTCACCTTGGTCAAAGGAGGCGCCTTCTGCGGTGAACTCTGGGTCACATCCACACCTGGACTTGACCCCACGGTAGTGCTGGTTCGCGGCGTAGGACGGGAACTGAAACACACACACCAGTGCCATTACCCACACGTCAGAAACTTTACCCTCCGCTTACTATATGCTGGGGAAAATGAAAACAAGTCTCCTAAAAAAGGGCAGAATACGTTAATTCTTTGTGATCTCATCATATAAAAAAAACCATTTAATGTTATCTGTGTTTACATGACTATTATTTTTATAACTTTTTAAAGTAATTCCCTGGCTAATTTACTGTGTGTGTTTTTTGTTTACAGCTTCTATGCTCCATACAGTATTTTGTTTTTACTGGAAACCTTACAACAATGATTGTATTATTCTTTAAATGTCTGCTGGTGTGAGCAGGATTAACCTAACAAAACACATCAGATATTCCACAAAGGATGAATAATATTCACAACTTTATTTCAGATGATGTTCAATACGGAAAGGTTTCTTGGTGCCTGCTGAGTGAGGAGTGATAGAAACCACATCTACTTGTAACGACTCCGCCCACACGTGTCAATGGCCTCCGAGCCCGATGGGCCACTCCATTCCCCCCCGCCCCCTCCCCCGCCCCCGAGTCTCTGATTTTCAGTTTTTCACATTTTAAGAAATTCACTCAGATCACCAGGGTCTTCTTCAGTAAACTCCTTCAAATTCCCAAAGATCAGGATTCCCATTTCTCTTTCACTTACTTATCTGTTTGCTCATTCATTCAACAAGTACTAACTTAGCTCACAGGAAATGCCCGGGAGAATACAAAGCTTTTTTAAAATCCAGGACGACAGATGCTGTAATAAGATGTACTTTCATCCCCCGGCCGGGGACCCCTCACTGCTCTGTCACGTCACCCACCTGAGAAGGAACATGGACTCGTTCAGTTGGCCCCCAAGAGTATTCTTAGGCCGCAGCTCAGCTGGATCTTCTGTGGCAGGAAAGGAGAATGTTAGCCATGAAGGAACAGGTACCATGAGCGGGGCACCCACAGACAGGGATGGAGAGAGAAAGACAGCACGAATGCGGAGGGAACTCTCCGACATGGCATTCGAGGCAGCACACACATGCTCGAATGAAAGCCCACCTAGTCTCCAAGAGCGACTCGGCCGCTGGCCACTCCTCTCCCCTCTGGCTTGTCCGCTCGGGGGGCTCCTCACAAGCTCCTTGGCATCTTGTGACCTGGAACATTCCATCATGTTTCTGCTGCTCAACAGGAGAAAGTCAACACAATCGAACTTACTTGTGAGCTTTCTACACAGCTTTCTGTGTCGAACGAGAGGTTGGAAAGGATAACTAAATTACACGTGACATTTGGCAAAGCCATGGAGAAAAGCAGTATTTTTCATCGAGCAGTGACCATGAGCACCGCTACGAGCAGGACAGTGAATGAAGAAGTTTCTACGCCTTCTCCCAGAAAAATAAGTAGCAGCTGGCAGATTGGGGATGGAAACCAGAACTCAAAGTAGCCGTGACCCAGCATGAGTCTCCCTAGAGTTTCCCCTCCCGGTGCTGCCCAGCCTGGGCTCGAAGGCAGCAAGGAGACAGAGGAAGCCCGTGAGAAGCCCTCTGTTTCTGTTCCAAGGACAGGAAAGGGACCTCTTGGGTCAGAGCTGGGAAATCCCCTAGGTGTTCCTTTTCTTTTCCCGTTCTGTCCTGCCCTGGCCCCAGGTAACCCTGCAGCAGCTGGTTGCGAACAGCAGCAGCATCTGGCCAGTGCCTAACACTCACAGAGGGGGTCATCCTCTTCTCTAACCAAAAAGCTACGGTCTCAAGAATGTGGGGCAAACCCCTGGGGCTCCGCTCTCTTTCTCAGCCTCTCTCCCTGTCCTCCGCCACTAGGCCACAAACACATCCAGCAAGACAAAGGCTGTAACACACAATAACTTCATTGTGGAATGCAAGGCTGGTTCAATATTTGGAAGCCAATTTATGGAAGAGCCATAATGAGAACCTAAAGAAGAAAAACCACATGATCACATTACCCAACACATAAAGGCATTCAACAAAATTCAGCGTTCATTCAAACTGAAAAAGGGCAGCGACAGAAGCCTCCACCTCATCGTTCTTCTTAATGGGGAAAGGCGCTTTCATCCTACAAGCAGAAACCAGGCAAGGATGTTTGTTTTCATCACTCCTGATTCAGTATCTTACTGGAAAAAAGTCCCAGCAAGGGCAATAAGGCAGAAAAAAGCAATAAAAGGCAAGGAGGTTAAAAAGGAAGATGAAAATCTGAGGTCGGAGGTATCCTGTGCCTTGCTGACACTGCGGACCAGCGCCCAGTTCTCTGTAGCACCTAATACTATAGTGAAAGCATAACTGAAGCTCACTGGCTCAGAGAAACTCAAGTTTGGGAAAGACTTCAGATAGAATTCAGACTCCTCTATCCAAGACAATCAACTTGCCAAGATTAAAATTAAGGATCAGACAACCATTTATCACAATGAGGTAAGGAGGGGAAAGTCAATTATCAGAACTTTTACTCAGCTACTTCTCACCTGTTCTTTTCCAAATACCATCAATTTTGTAAGGGTCCTGGGCTAAGAAGATTTTTATAATAAAAACAAAGAATATTAGTCAAGACGAGCTCGGTTATGCTGTGGTGACATACACCCCCTCAAACACCAGTGGCTCGGAATCTCGTAACTGTGTATCTTCCTCAGGCACAGACACACAGGCTGGGGGGAAAGGTATGCTCATTGTGGGCACTACAGACCCAGCCTGACAGCAACTCCATTTTGACAGTTTTCTTCCCAATTAACTCACCAGGAGAAGTGCAGCAGATCACTCACTGGCTTTCAAGTTTCTATCCAGAAATAACACATGTCACTTCTGCTCGCTTTCCATTAGCCAGAGCAAGTCACATGACTACGCCTAACTGAAAAGGGGGCAATGAGACCCTACCCCATGCTTGCAAGATGGGAAGCCACTTGTAGCTGGTAAACAGAACTGATAACTACCATACTGAATCAATGACTCGAGTGGAAACAACTGATCGGAAAATCCGCAAAATCAAGAACACAAAAATGTCATGATGAAACTCTTCCAACAATCCTTAAACAAATGCTTGATTTTTCTACTAGGAAAGCACAGAAATTCTTGTCATGGATGCTGTGTCATCAGAACACGAATGCGTAGGAGTGTTTAGCAGCCATGCCCCCCACACAAAGATAAGCTGATCCTACCTGATGCTGGAGTCCTCGGTGCTCGAGTCCTGATCTTTTCGAGTAAAAGCATCCTTCCAAAACGGATGCCGCAGCAGGCCTGCCCACGTTAATCTGTATAAAACACAAATGTTAAAATTCTGTTCATGATTCCCAGGGGGAAGTCCCAGTTATAGGAATCAGATTTTATCATTTATAAATATCTCCATGTTAGTGCACCTCTGAGATCGTGCAATACTTTACTCTCTCATTCCAGTACGCAACTGACCTCTCTTAAAAAGCAACCGATAATTCAGACATAATTCAGAAGCCTCACATGGTGCAGAATGAAAGGGTCTGACAACTAAGTATTGGAAATCTCAGGGTTCATATCCAGGGAGCCTGATGAAAACATTTTGGGTTCTCAATGAAGAAATCTATCAATAATTTAAAAATGTAAAGCAAATAGATCACATATTACCAACCTATAATTCTGCCCCACAACAGGCTTGATTATTCTAGGGCACCCTGCCTGTTTTACACATTTCATTCATGGGACTTCACTCCTATAACTTCATTCAGAAATAAACAAGAATGTCAACTTCATGACTATATACAGTCACATCTCTATTTAGGTGCCAAAATGTTGTCTAGCTACATTAACTGTTGTCACCCACATTAAAGTGACTTTTGGCTCTATCTCAAACCCAGACTCACTCTCAAAGCATTACGTTTTACTACTAATAGATTATTATACCTCCAGGTATACTCATCAGACTCAGAAAGGTTAAATCTGATTGAAATTTTAAAACCAAACAAGAAAATAGCTTAAATTAATTTAATCATTCAACATTTCTGAATTGAAGTGAAAACTACTTTAATCAAAATTAAAACACTAATGATAAAGAGAAAGAATTTACAACTATATATACAAGTAAATTTTAAGGGCTCTTAAGATTTACTCATGGAGAACTAAAATTGCCAGTAAAATGGAATTTCTTTTCCATCCATAAGATTGGCAAAAACGTGTAAGATCAGCAAAGCCCAGACAGGTAACTGGTGGGGAAAGAGCTCCCCAGCGTTGCTGAAAGTGGAAACCATTTCGAACATGTTCCCCAATGCAGCAAACGTATCACACTTTTATATGCTCTTAGCGTTTGACCAGCATTTATCCAAAAGGGATAACTTCCCAAGTGAATAACAAAACACACGCAAAGGCTATTTCCTGTAGCAGTGTGGATGGTATTCTAAATCAAGACACACTCTCAGTGTTTATTGCTATTACAGGTTATCATGTATACACTGCAGCCAGTCAAAGTGACTAAGTAGACGTTTTACTACTAATAGATTATTATACCTCCAGATATACTCATCAGACTCAGAAAGGTTAAATCTGAAATTTTAAAACAAAACAAGAAAATAGCTTATATTTAATTAATCTAATTATTCAACATTTCTAGATTGAAGTGAAAACTACTTTAATCAAAATTAAAACACTAATGATAAAGAGAAAGAATTTACAACTATATATACAAGTAAATTTTAAGGGCTCTTAAGATTTACTCATGGAGAACTAAAATTGCCAGTAAAATGGAATTTCTTTTCCATCCATAAGATTGGCAAAAACGTGTAAGATCAGCAAAGCCCAGACAGGTAACTGGTGGGGAAAGAGCTCCCCAGCGTTGCTGAAAGTGGAAACCATTTCGAACATGTTCCCCAATGCAGCAAACGTATCACACTTTTATATGCTCTTAGCGTTTGACCAGCATTTATCCAAAAGGGATAACTTCCCAAGTGAATAACAACATACTCAAAGGCTATTTCCTGTAGCAGTGTGTATGGTATTCTAAATCAAGATACACTCTCAGTGTTTATTGCTATTACAGTTTATCATGTATACACTGCAGCCAGTCAGTTTGGGCAGAACCCAAACTAGGAACCAACTGCTCTTGACCCCCAGGCCAGGGGAACCCCATCCCCACGCTGCAACATCTCTCTGAAATCAATAAAATATATATTTAAAAATGAAAAAGAATGACTAAGCAAACAAAGAGAAAAAAGTAGCTTATTGGGTGGTCCCATTTATGCAAAAAAAGCATACAATATAGAGATATAAACAGATAGAAATGTAGGTATTTCATCCTAAATAAAGTATTCTTAAGCCTATCAAAAGATGTCTGGAAGATTACCAACCAAAACAACACTAATCCTAAAGGCATTCTATTACAAGCATGGGAGGTTTGTCCTAAAACTTATAGAAGAACAGCTTTTCCTTCTGCAAGTTCTCTCTTGCATTTAATGAAGATGGAGAACGGAGTGTTTTGTTTGCTATGTGAAATACACTCATTATTTTACACCGAGGCAGAGACCCAAACACCTGCTTCACAACGGTGTCCCCACTCCCTTTTCCTGCAGTTACCTAGTGGCAGAACCCGAACTAGGAACCAACTGCTCTTGACCACCAGGCCAGGGAAACCCCATCCCCACGCTGCAACACAGAAATGTCACACTGTGCAATTTTCCTGTCACTTGATGTTCCCACGATGACAGGAGTATCATAAAAATATATCACACTAAAATACCACCCAGTTGGTGTTATTACATCAGCCATCTCAACAGTACCCTCCCTAGTCCAACAGTCAAAGGGAGCTTTAGCCTGAAGTCCACAAGGGAAGAACAAAGCTGCTTGGATTCAGGAGTTACAAGAAAATCCATCAAGGTATTGGGCAACTACTGAATACATTAAAAGAGAAAATGACTTAAAATTCCTCATCATTAAAAACGCGGGCAAAGAAAAACCCTGAGCGTAAACTCAGATTTCCTTTTGTAAAAAGCAGTTTGAGCCCCTCTGTGTGTATGAAGAACCGTGCTATTCCAGAAGTGCATGAAAGAGAAAAATAGATCCCACTCATCGTTCATATTACAATACCATCCATGCAGACCTTTTCTGAGGATCCTTTTGAAGCAAACCATCCAGCAAATTCATAAAATCTGGAGACGCTTTAGGAAGAGAAGAATCTGCATGCAAATTAAGTCCCAAAAATGAAAAAAAAAAGTGATAAGGAGATGAATACGTACCCTACATCAACATTTAAAGTCACGGTACTTTAAGCACATAAATTATTTTAAAGAGAACACGGAGTCTATTAATAACAATTAGGCTTCCATTTACATAGAGGGGAGAGGGGCACAATTTTTTTAGTATCTTTTTCCTATGCTACAGAAAACTAAGTTTCGACCAACTTCTAAAATTACTTGATTGTCTAACCCCAGGAAGGATTACTGGCCTAACAAACTCACACCCTTGTCTTCCACTAGTAATTATGCCCCATTTTCTGAGGCATTATTATTAATTTGACCAACTCTGCTTTAATATACTATGATTAGAATACTTGTAATTCCTTTTATTTTTAGCAGGAAAAATAATAAGCATCACATTATGATATTGTCCAATTGTCTTAATCTCCAAACTTTGCCTTTTTAAATTACACAGATACACACACACACACCATGGCCCAATTATCAGTCATGGTTAAAATAAGAAGCCATGAGGACAATGGCCAACAACAACGCCAGGCACGGTAGGCACTCCGGCCACCGTGTGGTGAAGGGCTGTGACATAGCGAGCTTGGGCCACCAGTCGTACCCTGACCAGACCTTTGGCACCTCATTTCCAGGTTCTTCCCTGCATAAGAACCTTTAACTTATAGGAGAAAACAATAATCAATATTGTATTGAAAAGTCATCATAAGAAATACGAATGACTGATTTCTACAAAAAATAAGACGAAGTTAATGAAAGGGAAAAAATGCAGCATTTTGTTTTAAGAAATACAGATTATTTTCAAAATATCAAGCGTTTTGTTTTTTTCACCTGGGGTGATTCTTGAAAATATCCTGTATTCCTATTTCTTTCATGAACGACTTCCGATTTTTTTTTTCTCCTCTTAAAAACTCCCAATATTATTTTTTGTAAAGCTCTGTTTTCGTTGATGTGGCTTAAGACTCACTTTTCTTATGGTGTAGAGCAAAGTGCTTTATTATGGTTGTATCTGCTTTTGTTTTTCTTTCCTTAAAGTTGTTAACAGTAGATGGTTATATTATCCACAATTTGTGTGATTAAAATCCCGACACTTTAAATACTACACTCTCTCCTTCCAAAGGCTCTAACAACTTGTCAGGGCAGCATTCTGATCAAGGGCTGAGAACGCCCGATTCGTTACCATGCAAACACTCACCAGGCATAACCACACAGGACATGAGTCCAAATTAGGTAAACGACACAGACACAAAATAATAAATAAAAGTTTGGCTTCTCAATCTGTAAGCCAGACATCTGATACAGGAGGGCAAAGTAATCCGTGATTTTAAATGAGGGAAACTACTACTTTTCCATTTAAGTATCTAAAAAAAAAATGGCAAAGGGAACGCTAACATTTCTAAAAATATCAATTAGGGAACATTTATAAAATGTAAATTGGGAAGTTATGAATCAATAGAAATAGACAACAAAAGTGCACCTGTAGTCAGTGTAAAGTGTAAATTAACTGCATTTATAACAAAAAGCCTACCTTTTGGAATAGGTGGCGAAGGAGCTTTATGAATAATCTTTTCAATTACTTCTGAAACACTTTCTGAGAAGAATGGAGGTTTTCCTGAAATTACATGGAAACTTGTCAATTAAATATGTTTGTCATCACCAATAATTCTAAAACAAAAAAACAAAAAACCAACTGCAGATAGTTCAGCATTACACAATTTACAAATGCATATATAGTGATAACTAATTATTGAATGTCTATACCAGGCACACTATGTATTTTTATATTTCTATAATTCAAAATCTGTCACCCCAACCAATATACAAATTCACATATGGAACCTACCAGGACCCATGGTTTACGTGGGCTACTGGACACATGGGAATAATTCAGTCGCAGGTACCTTTACAAGAATTTCTACTAATAAGCACAGCTCTTTAATAGTTAGGCACATTTCAACATTCCAGATCATCACGAAAAATACCTATCGGTCAAAAAGGTCCTAGGGACCTGAATGTGCCCAGACTCCAAGCACTCCAGCCAAAATCATATAGACAGAAATTACAAAAACCAGTCTTTGCCGGCTGGTGTGGCTCAGTAGTTGAGCAGCGACCTATGAACCAGGAGGTCATGGTTCAATTCTCAGTCAGGGCACATGCCCAGCGGGGGACGTACAGGAGGCAGCCAATCGATGATTCTCTCTCATCATTTGATGTTTTTATCGCTCTCTCTCTCCCTTCCTCTCTGAAATCAATAAAAAGTATATTTTTTAAAAATTAAGTTAAAATAATAACCAGCCTTTTCACATCTTATATGTAAAATATTTACAAACTACTGATTTCGCCTTTGTGTTTATCCAGCTGTGACTTGAAAATGAAGCAGCAAGTAATCACCTGAAAACATCTCATGCAGCAGACAGCCCAAAGACCAGAGGTCGCTGGCGACGGAGAAGTCGGTGCCCTTCACAATTTCGGGTGCTGTGTAAGCAAGCGATCCTAAGCACCAAGTACAAACAGCAGCTTCGTTAGGAGTTTGTATTGTTCCCACCCCAAACCCGCCAGGGAGAGACCCGACGAGGTGAAAATGCGGAGAATATGCACGTGAACATAACTTCAGGTGCATTTCACACGTTTTAGTGTTTCCTAACAGTAAGGTTCCATTTTACCAGGATATGTGAAAATATAAACAGAGTTATCTCAAAAACCCAGCTCAGTCAGAGGTGTGGCACATATAGGCATGTTCAACCTCTTTGAAATTAACAATTTAAATAGTCCGAAGAAAAGCAGCTCTGGTTAGAATATCTTGGACAGGATGTGTTGTTACGCAGCAGTCACACCCCACACCCACCCGGGATTTACAGCAAAGCTGATTTATCATGCAAACCACAGTGCGGCCCAGGTCAGCCGCGGGCTGAGGGAGGCTCCGCCCCCGACACCCCCTCAGTCATCCAGGCACAGACAGCACCCAGCACTGCACACGGGCTCAACTACAGCTAACACCCCAGATGCAGCTCACTGTCAAAACCACCGCCCAAGAGTGAACCCCTAGAAGTCTTCCTTAATTGCAAGTATCAGCTGCTCAACCATGTGGAACAAATAACTACGGAGCCACGAGCGTGTGCCAGGCACTGTGCCAAGTGCGGAGCTACGGCCAGGGGTGAGGCCAAACCCCTGCAGCTGATGCTCTGACGTGTGGTCAGGGACATCCGGAGGTCAGGATGAGATCCGGGCTGTCAGGGGTTCCGGTGCCTACACAGCCTTCGATCCTCATGGAAAACCTTAGGCCGTCGACAAAGCCATCCCTGCATCCGGACTTCTCCTCGTCAGTATTATTTTGCATCCATTATTTGACTAGCAAAATAAAAGGTCAGCATCATCCCCTAACGTGACTTGGGTGGCCCACCACGAGAGCTAGGATCTAAAAACTCTCCACCTACCTCGGATTCTACTTTTCATATTTTTCTTCAGTACACGTTCCCCACTGTCACCTCCTCCTTCTTCTGTTGCCATCAAAGCAAAGAAATCTTCCAAATTTTCACCTTCCACTTTTGCCAGGCAGAAATTACTAAACTTCAACGTGCCGGGCCCTTCCAAGAGAATCTATACAGATGAAAAATGAACCTGGTCAGCGCCTGACCCGACTGACACTTCCCGCGGCACCTCGTCACCTCACTAAAGCACTTTGAAGCATTTCTTGCTTCATCACAACTTAGAAAATTAAATGCTTACATTTAAAAAAAAAAAAAGAAGAAGAAGAAGAAGCTAAAGAGCTCTAGCCGGTTTGGCTCAGTGGATAGAGCGTCGGCCTGCAGACTGAAGGGTCCCAGGTTCGATTCCGGTCAAGGGCACATGCCCAGGTTGCGAGCTCAATCCCCAGTAGGGGGCGGGCAAGAGGCAGCCAATCAATGATTCTCTGTCATCATTGATATTTCTCTCTCCCTCCATCCCTCCCTCTCCCCTCCTCTGAAATCAATAAAAATATATTAGAAAAAAAAATTTTTTAAAGCAGCTAAAGAAATCCAACATTTTAACAATAATGGAATCAAATATTCAACTGCTCGCTCTCAGATGTATACAATGAACACATCACATAACCACAGAGGGAAACCTCGGGCTCTTAAGAGCAGTGTATATGGAGAACCTGACACTGAGGGAGGGTCTGAAAGCACACCTGTCAGGTGTTGTTTATATAATGTGTGGCTAAGACTAAGGCTCTGAAGTTAGAGACCTAAAACTCTCACAGGCAATGTGACCTGGAGAATCTACTTAACCTTCCTAAATCTCACTCTCTTCCCCTATAAAATGAACAAAGCACACTTAACTCTGCAGACTGGTAAGGAATAGCTGAGGTTACGCGTGCAAAGGGCTTTGAATAGTGATTGGCATGTGCTAAACGCTCACGTCTACTAATGTAAGTTGTGACTAGAAGTTATCTGTTGAGTGTTAAAGCCATGCCAGGAACCAGTGTCCTGTTACTTTTAATTTTTTCTCCAGAGCCATTAAAAATATTTATGGGAAGTTGTAATGAGTCAGCTGGCTTTTTGTTTTTAAAGACAATTTAAAGTTTGCCCTTAACTTCTAATCAGAAATACTAAGGATGTCTGTTACAAGTCCCCAGTGACTTTTAAAAGTGTTTGAGCACCAGAAGCCCCAGAAGATCTGTTAAGAAGAACTACTAGTCCCTACTGCCAGAGTTTCTGATTCCACAGGTCTCAGATGGGTCCAAGAACCCCCATTTCCAATGAGCCCCAGATAACACTAATGCTGCTGGTCCAGGGAACACACTTTGAGAACCAGTGAGAGGGGTCAGCAATTTTTTTTAAGTTAGTAAATCTTTCAGACTTTGCAAGCCATAAGGTCTTTGTCCTGATTACTCAACTCTGTAGCCACCAACAATATAGAACGAAAGGGTGTGGCTATGTTCCAATAAAACCTCGCTTACAGGAACGGGCATCCTGCCCGGACTCTGCCAACCCCAGATCTGGAATAAAAGTTACATTACAAGTCAGCCTGAATGTCCCATTACCAGTATAAACAGCTGACACTAGACCTCATTAATCACCTCCCACACGGGGTTGGCACGCCTCAGCCCCTCGGTCAAATCCCAGCCGGCACCTGTTTCTGCACAGGCATGAGCTAAGAGTGGTTTTATATTTCTAAACGGTTGAAAAAAACTGCAATAAGATAATATTTTTTGACGTGAAAATTATATAAATTTCAAATGTCAATGTCCATGAATAAAGTTTTATTGAAACCAGCCACACCTGTGCACTTATATACTGCGTATGGCTGCTTTCAGGCCTGTAACCACCATTAAATGACTGTAGGCTTCAGGCAAGTATATGAATATGTCAAACAAGGATTTTTATCTGTTACGAGGAGTTTTATGGATTTTTTTAAGGTTTAATTATGTTCTCATACAGACGGCTGCTAATAATGTTTAACAAGGAAACATTCAACTTTCCATTTCATTGTGTACACATTAACAAAGGGACAGTAGCAACTCAGAGCCATAATCAGTACAAGCCCTAAGAGTACGTCCTTGTAAAGATAACTGTGCCTGACTGAGGGCACACTGTGCACCAAAAAGTGTCCCAGAAGCCTCTCCTAAAATCAACATGTAAGCCTTACACTCGCCCTGAAATTCCCATTTTATATTAGAGACAAGAAACTAAGGCCGAGAGAGAGAGAGAGAGAGACAGAGACAGAGGATTTTGTCCAGGGAACAGGGCTCCTAAATGTGTGTCAACTGTGACCAGGAAACTCAGCAGGTTTCATGACAACTACACTGAAGCACATTTAGTTATGGATGATTAGCTTAGCCCAAAAAGAAAATATATGATCCACAATAGCCAAAAATTCCATTAGAAAACAAAAGTAATGGCTCATAATTGCGTACTATAAGAATTAAGAATTATTTCATAGAGCTATGGACCTCACCATTCACAATACAGGTCAGCAGCAATAATAATTACTCACAGAGCTCTGCAAGGAGAGGAAACTGCATTCTTCAAGGACTTCAATGGGTAGCTAACTAGGTAGCTAAAATACAGTTTCCTTTTATTAAAAAAACTAGTGGCCCGGTGCACAAATTCATGCACATTGAAAGGAAATTAACTGGTAGGAATATTTTAATATTGCTATTTGCCCTTTCTCCATAAAAGCGTCAACCAAATTCATGATCGACAATGACAGATGGGAACACACGTGTGCGATTGGCACCAGTGAGTGTTTTCTAAGTATCGTGCGTGCGTTAGTCAACTTAGCCTTTTATAGATATAGAACAAACTTGCTTAATTAGACCTGCTTTCTGATTTAGCTAAACTTTTTCCAGCCCAGTGAAGCACCCCAACTTCTCTTTCAGGTCATTATCAACAACACAGCAGTAAATATCAACACGAAGCAGATTATTATTGTAGATCACACAGGGAGAGCAAAGGGTAAAATATTTAATTGCAGTAGTGCTTTACTATATTCTGTGCAGTGAGAACACCTGGAGTCATTTTTAAGGTCCACCATTTCTTACCTCTTTTCAGTCAGGTCAAGTTTCTAAGCTTTCTAAATCTCCGTTTTCTGGCTAATGAAAAGAAAATAGGATTCCACCGAGTCTCCTATCTACCTACTCCAGGACTTCTGTGAAGATCAAATGAGATGAGGCACGGGAAAACACTTCACAGACATTTGGTTAAAGTGTGAAATGTTCCCACCTGGCTATAAAGCAAGTCGTGTTCCTGGGCTGAAGAAACCAAGGAGGCTAGTCACTAGGTAGAGGAAGCCGGGCGTTGCTATGTGATATCATTACCCAGATGGACACTTAGCATATTAGCCTTTTATATACAGACTAGAGGCCTGGTGCACAAAAATTTGTGCACTCGGGGTGGGGGGGGGCCTCAGCCCGGCCTGTGCCATCTCGCAGTCTGGGACCCCTCGGGAGATAACGACCTGCTGGCTTAGGCCCGCTCCCTGGGGGATTGGGCTTAAGCTGGCAGTCAGACATCCCTCTGGCAGCCTGGGCGCCCTCAGGGGATGTCTACTTGCCAGCGGGGAGCAGGCCTAAGCTGCAGTCGGACATCCTTAGCGCTGCTGAGGAGGCAGGAGAGGCTCCCACCTCCACCGCTGTACTGGCAGCCATCAGCATGACTTGTGGCTGAGCAGAGCTCCTCCCATGTTTTTCTTTCTTTTTTTTATTCTGGGCCAGCTTTAGCTTTGAGGCTTGGCTCCAGCTCTTAGGACTCCGCTGCTGAAAGTAGGTTTCTAGCCTTTGCTTACATTGTTGCGATCCTGCTGGCTGAAGCCTGGCAGGTTTCTGGGGTTTTGTTTAGCTTCTATGTTTGTTACATAGTTGCTTAGAGTTGCAGCTTAGAGGCCTGCAGCGGCAGATGGGGAACATTGGAGTCCTCTGTCACTGAAGCAAGCAAGCCTCATGTAGTTTCAAGTTGCCTGGCTGCCGGCCGCCATTGTGGCTGGCAGTTAATTTGCATATTGCCCTGATTAGCCAATGGGAAGGGTAGCGGTCGTATGCCAATTACCATGTTTCTCTTTTATTAGATAGGATGTTAACGCAAAATTTCAAGATGTTCTATACCTAAAATTATATCTAAAAAAAAAAGTGCCATTGAGAAAGCACCGTTAACTAAGGCACAAGAGATTAGGAAATCAAAATATTAATGAATTACCTTCCCAGGAGAAAGGTCACAAAAGAGAATGCCAAGCTGATGAAGATGATGCAATCCAGTAATCAGGTCAATCCCAAAGCTTCTCACAACATCTTCTGGGAGGTTTTCATCTTGAGCAATGACCATTTCTAAGGAACCGCCTGCAAGTCGATTAAAATCACCCATTTTAGCCCCCCGGCATTACACAGTGCCTCCAGCGGGTTCCATGGTGGGAGACACTGAGCATGGAAGAAATGATCGCATCAGGACCCCTGGACAGCCTCGCAGGGAAAGCACACCTGTGAGGGAGCACCATGGACAAGCGCCCTATCAGACTATCAGAAACCTGCGTCCCTGCTCCAGGCCAGCTCAGGGGACCGGCTGCTCAGTCTGCACGCTGGTCAGTAAGGAGGGGGGTGGGATGCAGGGAGTGACAATCACCTGGTGCTGTGATGTCTCACTCCGCTCCCTCGGGAAATGAATGGCTGTAAAGATTGGTGGGAAACACTGACGCAAACTGCATTCAAATCACATTACGCAAAGTACAGTCACATTTGCTTCTGTACAAAGTTAGGTGGCATTCTGCAAAGTGCTGCATAGCAAAAAAGATGGTGCCTTTCCTTCACCGTCAGAAAAGCAAACCGTGATGAATTAAATAATGGGCCTAAGGCAGTCACGTGGGGAATTCTATTTCTATGCCCTTCGGAGGTCCCGGTCACGTTTCTATTATCTCAGAGCCAGAAACAAACATGCGGGTTTTTTTGTTTGTTTCTTTTTTTTTAGGGTCAAGATTAAAGCAAGAGCCAAATTCAGAGGCTGTGCAGTCTCGGCTGGCATCTCGAAGTTCAATCAGAATTACCGTGACAAAGCTAGCAGGTGTTTTGGGTTTTGTTTATTTTGTCTTGGTCGGTGAGGAACGGCGGCAAACACAGGCATAAATTAAAGTTAGGTCACTACACTGGTCACGGGGCAGAAACAGCAGCTGAAGCAAAAAAAAGGAACAAGGAGGAAGTCCCCTGCTCACCTCACCCATGGGCACGTCTGTGGAAGTAATTTAGACCACAGCACCCTACTGATTCAGAAAATGAAATGACAGAATTACTCTATGATTCAGTTTTATAAATTCCAAGTGCCAATAGGTAAGACTCATAAAGCTAGACTTAACTACAGTGTGCCTTAATATTTAATGATTCTCTATTTTCCTCGGTGTATAAACAGGAGTACACTAACCATGGTACTTGTTACGTTTTTTTCCCTGAAGACACTGGCACTAAAAGCCCAGATAATATCTACCGAGGTAGTCACCCTTCTCCCTGTACATAGTGATGGCGAACCTTTTGCGCTCGGCGTTGTCAGCATTTTGAAAAACCCTAACTTAACTCTGGTGCCGTGTCACATATAGAAATTTTTATATATTTGCAACCATAGTAAAACAAAGACTTATATTTTTGATATTTATTTTATATATTTAAATGCTATTTAACAAAGAAAAATCAACCAAAAAAATGAGTTCAAGTGTCACCTGACACCCATGTCATAGGTTCGCCATCACTGTCCTAGAGAGCTGTATTAAACAAGAACTATAACATGTGATCTCTGATTACACCTAGGTGATGGGATCTGTTGATTCATCCTTGTACTTTTCCACATTGCTTAAGTTTTTATAAAGAGCAGGTATTCTGTTCATTAAAAAAACATTTTATAAACTAATAAGCTACTTAATAGCTAATTGACCTAAAATACTTTGTTTCTATTGAATGGAAAAAGTTATTTGATAAACTAATTACTACTCAAAAATATTTCTAAGCTTTCACATAAGTGATTTGGTAATATTTTATACCAAAGTAAAGTTAACCCCAAACTGAATATTATATAAATCTTCCTCTTATCAAATATCTTAGCCCTTCCCCTTCCCTAATATCCACTCAACAACAGATTTTCAAGTTAACATAGTCAACAGTATCAACATGTACCTGTAAAAGAAGGAAGGAAAATAACAAAACCTACATCTGACTTTTTTTTAAAACCACATAACGTGGCTTACCTGTGCAGAGTTCCACTACCAGCCAGAGATGATTGCTGGTTTCATACCACTCGTGAAGGGTTACGATATTCTGGTGTTTAATTTCTTGGGTGAGACGGACCTATAAAAACACACAACATACACACTTTTTAAGAAAAGTTCTTAAAACCCTTGCATCTATTAAAAAATACCTAAATCGCCCAGCCAGGTGTGGCTGAGCGTCGACCCAGGAACCAAGAGGTCAGCGGTTCAATTCCTTGTCAGGGCATATGCCTGGGTTGCAGACTCAACCCCCAGTACAGAACATGCACGAGGCAGCCAATCAATGATTCTCTCTCATCACTGATGTTTCTCTCTCTCTCTCCTCACTTCCTCTCTGAAATCAATAAAAATATATTCTAAAAAAATAAAAAACACCTACCGGTAAATATACAATCAGGAAATGGATAAGAAAATAATAGAATTCATTGGGTGGAATTCTTTATGGACATCAAAATAATGGTTATGAAGGCTGGTCACATGGAAACATACCATCTTAAAAATGATTTTTTTCAAAACTTGTGTAATATAGTTTTGTGTGTTTTGGGTAAATATAATATTGCAAAAAAAGAAATATTATTCATAGGAAAATGGACAAAAGGTTTACATCAAAAAACCTATTGTAGCCCTGGCTGGTATTGTTAAATGGTTAGAGTGTTGACCCATGCAACAAAGGGTCTCAGGTTCAATCCCTGGTCAAGGGCATGTACCTGGTTCACAGGTTTGATCCCCGACCCCAGCTGGGGCACATCAAGAGGGAACCAATTGATGTGTCTCTCTCACATCGATGTCTCTATCTACCTCTCCTCCCTCCCTCCCTTTCTCCCTTCCACTCTCTCTAAAAATCAATTTAAAAAACATCGAGTGAGGAGGAACAAAAGCGAAAAAAAAGGTTAAGATGGTAAATGTTGTGTTATGTGTATTTTACCACAATAAACAAAAAAAGTTGAGGGGGGAAAAAAAAAAGTCAGGTTTGGCCCAAGGAGCCTGGGCTGTAATTCAAACCCAAGCCGCCCTCGCCCAAAGTCCTTCCTTTGGAAAGCTTCACAATCACATACTAAATGTACAAGTAAATGAACCAACACAGACCTTATTTTCCCCGACTCTCACCCAAACAAACGAAACCCTTACGCTGCTAATGACGGGGGCGTGTTCATCAGTCAGGAGTCAGGACTGGCGGCACTACACAGGCACAGAGAGGTTGCCCAGGCGATTGGAATCGTGGCACCTGCTATAGTGCGTTCCGTGGCTTCTATTTACATACTGATTATTCTACCACATCAGAGCTGTCTTTTGCCAGAGGGAAGGAAACATACTTGACTTACCCAGTTTGTTATTTCAGGCCTTTTGCACTTATCTGTGCAAAAAACAGCTACAAAATTGATGGTTCCCTTCCGTCGCCCCTTATAGACAATGGTCCTGCTTCCTCTGCCGATCTCCTCGTATAGAACGAAGTTTTGCATCTCCAGGCCAACTTCTCACACTTGATAGAAGGACAGCCTAATAGCATCTCTTGCTCCTAAAATGTAAACAGAAATGACACACATAAATGCAAGCTAGTCGTATGATTAATTAGCCCAGGATATTTAATATGTAAGTAAATCTAATAATTCTATAAATTCATAAGATTCACTGGTATGCAACACCTGCAAGTAAGTGTTGAAAGATTCTTTTTGACTCAGTCTAAGGGCATGCCTCACAACAGACTTCCCACTATGAATTTTTAAAATGTTATTACTCTTAAGTTGTAAAATAAAGCACAAATACACAAAATCCCACAAAATAGAGTTTACTGAATTATTGTAAGAGGTACACCGCTGTCATCACCACCCGGGTCAGGAACAGCACTTGGTGGCCACCCCAGAAATCCCTCCACGAGCCTAAGGCAATCACAGCTCCTCCTGCTCCCCAAAAGTAACCGCTCTCCTTACTTTCACAGTTACCACTTCCTTGGGTTTCTTCATAGTTTTCCCACCCACGTGTGTTATCCCAGACAGTTTAGTCTTGCACGTTTCCTATAATCGTGGTGCATCTTTTCTCTCTCTTTTCATCTACAAGTTCACCTAGCTATCATCCGAAAAGCCAGAAGTCAGAGCAAATCACACCTACAAGCAAAGGAGGCATTTACGAGCCAGGGGCACGTAGGTGAAGACCGGGATCCTCCCCTCCATCATCCCCGCCGTTTAACTCCCGCACTAGCAGCATCAGCGACACCTGGGAACTGGATAGAAACCAACTCTCGCGCCCCATTCCAGACCTCTGGAATCAGAAACTCTGGAATCCGGGCCTGGCAAGCAGTTTTAATTCGGCCTCGGGATGCTCGCTCACCTTTGCGAACCTCAGGCCGTGCCACCCTTGCCTCAAGCAAGACCCAAAAGGCGGCCAGGCATTTTGCTAAGTCCTTCAACAAGTGCGCCTCCTGCAGCACTTTACAGACCGACTTCCCTGCAGGTTGAGCTCGGTCTGACTTCGGGCCGAGAGATGGCGGGAGAGGGGAAAACAGTGAGTAGGTGGGCAGCGCCCCTCCAAACCTACAGTCTCTATCGCGTCGGCTGAGGGAGTCCCGAATCCAGACTTACGCCCCTAAAACTGCCACTCCCCGGGTCTCTGGGGGAGATACCACCGACCAGCCAGACCGCTCCCTCTTGTGCGCAGATCTCGAATAGTAGCCCCCTCGGGACGGGTCCACTGGCCCCAAACCGGGGGCGAAACAATGGAGCAAAGCGGGACGCGCGGTAGCAGCGTAAGGCCATGAGCGTCCGGCGCCCCTCCGCGTTTGGATTCGCCCATCCCGTCTCCAGGGCAGCACGCAGAACGCCAGAAAGAGCGCAGGGCTCTGACTGGCTGAACAGTTTCGGTTCCTATTGGCTGGAAGTGAGCGGCTAGAGCACCTCCCTCAACCCAAAGGGCCTCGCGCCCAGCCTTCGGACGAGTCCACCGACCCTGGACCAGGGCAGAAAGTGGTGGAGGGAGGCGGGGCTCTGAGCGTCAGCGTCCGGCCTCGCGAACTGAGCACCCCTCCGCATTTGGATTCGCCCATCCGGTCTCCAGGGCAGCACGCAGGACGCCGGAAGAAGTCCCTGGCGCTGAGTGGCTGAGCAGTTTGAGTTCCTATTGGCTGGAACCCGGAAGTAGGCGTGGGTGACGGGCGGTTCGTCCATCCTTTTACGGTGTGTGTGGATTGGGGTTTTGGACCAATCAGGAGAACCTACCTGGACTGTAGTGGCAGATTTGGGGGCTCTTGGGCCCTGGGCTCTCGTCATTTCTTCACTGCCCTCTCCCCGTTTCCTTCCGTCCTTTTTTTCTGACGCCCTCCGGAGCCCACGTGGACGTGGGTAAACAAAGGGTCAGAAGCCTGCTCCTCGGGTTGCCCACCCTTTGGAAAAGAGAAGGCTATGGAATACTTCCTTCTTGTACCTGAGAAAACAAACCAGATCCTCTGATCGCGAGGTGATTGCTTATGACTTGGGAAGCTCCGGGCCCTCAAATCCAACCACCAGATACCTGAGCGCTAGCTCCCGGCTTCCTTCCATTTACGTTAGCGCAGTTTTCCTCAAACTTTAGCATCAGAATCACCTGCGTGCTTGAGAAGCATTTCTGGGCCCCACCCACAGAACTTCTGATTCTGTAGATCTTGATGAGGCCCAAATGTTTGCAGTTGTATCAAGTCACCAGGTGAAGTAGATGTTGCTGATAGAGGACCACACTTTACAAACTTGTAGAAACTGTGTCTCTGATCTCAGGTGAAACACATGCCCTGTTCTTTGACTTCTAACCCTTCCTGCCTTCTCAGTAATCTTATTATTGTCAGTTTTGTGTAGAGCAGTGGTTCCCAACATGGGCACCACCCCGGGGTAGGAGCGCAATTTGATTTTTAAGGGGTCAGTTCGTGAATGAGTTAACAGTGAATTTTTTGCATTTCTTATGGTTCTAGGGGCCTCATATGCAGTATATAAATACATATTGTAATATATTTATGCATTTCAGTTCTGTATGATATATTTTGAAACTTTGCTATTTTTTCATAGCACTTTGAATTATGATTTTTTAACAATTTCTTAGTGCTTTCTTTCTCAGTACTTCAACTGCCCTTTCGTTCTTTTATTTTTCTCTTTCCTAGAAGCTTGTTTAGACCAAGTTAATGGCCTTTTATGCTTCCTCCATGTGAATAGGAGTTCACTTTTTGACTAATAAGAATTATTTGTCACGGGGAAGAGGAGCATCAGGATTTTAGAGATGCTTAGGTGGGGCATGGCCCAAAAAAGGTTGGGAACCAGTGGTGTAGATCAGGGGTCCTCAAACTACGGCCCGCAGGCCACATGCAAATACAAATATTGTATTTGTTCCCGTTTTGTTTTTTTATTTCAAAATAAGATATGTGCAGTGTGCATAGGAATTTGTTCATAGTTTTGTTTTGTTTTTAACTATAGTCTGGCCCTCCAACGGTCTGAGGGACAGTGAACTGGCCCCCTGTTTAAAAAGTTTGAGGACCCCTTGTGTAGAGGCACACCTCATTTTATTGCATTCCACTTTATTGCGTTTCACAGGTGTTGCTTCTTTTTTTTTTTAACAAGGCAAGACCCTCCTCCAGCAAAATGACTGGGGTTTGCTTTATTGTGCTACTCCCTTTATTATGGTGGTCTAGAACCAAACATGCAATATCTCCAAAGTATGCCTGCACTTAACATTTGATATGAAAAACGTTTCCTCATAGGTCACCCCCTAGTTAATGGAGACATAAAATGAGATTTCGACTAGTTCATTCCGAATTTTGATAAACAGCTTAAGCGTTAATGTCAGAAACTATCAAATCCCAGTACATCTTAGCCTAGGTTCCCTGGATGCCTCCAGCCCATACTTGAATCTGCTGAAATGGTTAAAATCTTGTGAGCATGTGCATTTTTCTGGCTAGAGAGGACATGGGTTTGCTCAGATTCTCAAAGGTACTAATGACCCAGAACATTGTAAGTTACCCTGCTATAAACTATCTTGAATTATAAGCCCAGATTTTTTAATAACAGAATTAATCATGCTAGCATCTATCACACGTGTTGTAGCAACTCCTAGGCGGATTAGATTTTTCAGGGAAATCATGTGGGTTTTTTGGGGGGGGGGCACGCGGAAGTGGGGGGTCACTTCTTGCAACAAATTTCTTAAGGCTTGTTCATTTTTACCATCTGATCTCCAGCACATGCTATTTGCCCCTGGCCCTGCTTCCCCTCGTGTACTTGATAGCGCTTTCGTCTTCATTCCCATAGCCCATGTTACGTGTGATACACACTTTTACTGACGTAACAGAGGGAGGTTAGAGCACAGAAAGGAAACAACTTAAAGGTGAGTGTCAGACGTGGTGGTGGTGGTAAGGGTGTTGGAAAGCAGGCACTTTGACATGACCGATGGGAGAGCACTTTGTCAATATCTGTCAAAATGACAGATGCACCTCTCCACTGACCCGCAAGTCCACGTCTAAACATTTGTCCAGTAGGCATGCTTACATTTGCCAAATGGCACAAAAGTATCCATCGCAGCCTTGTTTGTAATTTTAAAAAATTGGTAACAACTCAAATGTCCATCAGCAGGAGACGGATTAAATTAGAAATAAATGTGCTCTTTGCGTATGATAGGAAAATATCTCTAAGATTTATTATTACAGAGAAAAACCGAGGCACATAACACGTGGTATAGTATTACTACCATTTGTGAAGATGAAAGAAAGGAGGGGCAAATATATATACGTAGGTGTTTGCATATATGTGCCAGGCACAGTGCCAGCATCTCCTGAAGGAAGCTGCTGATGCTGTGGAATGGAGGTGGGTGGGTGCAGAACTGGTTATAAGGGATACAATTTACATAGTTTGCATTTGGAACCACATACCTCCTAAATATTCTATCTGTACATCATACATCTTAACTGAATATATTTCAAAATTATACACACACATATTTAATATGATGTGTATGTATATGTGTATATTTACATGTGATAAATTTTATGTGTGTGCACACATATAATTTAAATGGACAAAATGGAGCGTGGCACCTTTTGTTCTGCACACCCTGAGGCCTCCTTCCCACAAGTCGCCATGCACTCTCCTCCCTAGGACTCTGCCTATAGCTCTGTTTCCCTTCCCGCCTCTCCTGTGAAGCCCAGAACTCCCCTTCATCACAGATCAGTCCCTTCATGTGCACATTAGGGTCTGTCTCTGGCTTATTGGTTTTGTTCTGTTGAGCTCTCTATGTTTGAATGAGTTGGAGACGGTTCTTAATAACTTGGGTGTTAAAATTTTATAATACAGCGGGAAGAAAAATGATCTGCAGAGAAGGGAGGGGTGGAGATGACAATGAAAACCTAAAGAGGGGAAATGGTGAGGACAAGGCAGCGCGTTATGTGTGACCGGGAGTCAGAGTCGAAGCCCTGAAGCACTGAGCTGCACTAACAGCCAGGCCGTGGCTGCAAAACATCAATTCACAAGAGAAAATGACATCAGAGTCCGCATCACCCCAGGAGCAGGAGCAGAAGGAATCATACCTATTACCCATCCATTCATTCACAGATATATACCCAGGGTCTACTCTATGTCAGGAACTACATTGGCTCTGGAGTCTAAAGCAGTGAATGAAGAATTAGTATCCTTCCTCCTAGAGCAGTGATGGCGAACCTGTGACACGCGTGTCAGAGGTGACACACGAACTCATTTTTTTGGTTGATTTTTCTTTGTTAAATGGCATTTAAATATATAAAATAAATATCAAAAATGTAAGTCTTTGTTTTACTATGGTTGCAAATATCAAAAAATTTCTATATGTGACACGGCACCAGAGTTAAGTTAGGGTTTTTCAAAATGCTGACACACCAAGCTCAAAAGGTTCACCATCACTGGGCTAGAGCCAACTGAAAGGAGAGAAATAGTGTCCCTGGAGTAGAATGTGTAGTTGGAGAATACTGGACCCTGATACCAAGGGTCCCAGAATCTACTGTGGCCCACCAATCAGAATGAGACTGTGGGGTGTTGGGTGATAAATGAGATTTGTCAATGTCCCTCTCCCTGTAGGCCCAGCAGGACTCCAGACCTACCCAGCGATTATTCAACCAGGTCCTGAGTGTGGAGTTGAAATACAGGTAGCAGCGCAGAATATATACGCCTTCAGCTGTAAAATGTGGGACATTATGGTTCAAAGGACACTCCTCTAGCTACTCCTACCCACTGAAATAGCAAATATTGCCTCCACGTGGGATCTGCTACTATCAGAGATTGCAAGAGGCGTGAATAACACTTCCCATCACATTCCTATTTAATCATCAAGGTCGACAAGGACACAAGATCCTGAAAAATGACCCAGATTACCACAGGCTTCATCAGCTGGTGATGTCGATTGCAGCTGATGCACACTTGCATCACTTGTTACGACTAGCAGTGACAAATATGGAACCGGACATTGACCATGTCATTAGCCAAAAGCAGGCCCATAGTTCCCCATTGAAATACTGGTAAGTTTGTTGATTTAACTTTACTTGTTCTTCATCTTAAATATTGTATTTGTTCCCGTTTTGTTTTTTTACTTCAAAATAAGATATGTGCAGTGTGCATAGGAATTTGTTCCTAGTTTGGTTTTTTTTTTAACTATAGTCTGGCCCTCCAATGGTCTGAAGGACAGTGAACTGGCCCCCTGTTTAAAAAGTTTGAGTGAGTAGTATACCTTTACATTTTCCATCATCGGTTACGTCCACTCTCCAGCTCTGTGTCCCAGGTTAGCCCAGAGTGACACTGGCCATCTCACCATCCCACAGAACATCA